CTAAAAATAGAGCTGAAGTTACGGCTGTGGAATGACATAGAGCAAGGGGCATGACCAAAGGGGCATGTGGACGCTCAGGAATGCTTCCGCACGAGTTGTGGAATTTGGATCGAGAACTCCCAGAGTTTCCTAAGTAATTGCCGAGGATATTCTTTTTTCGATCTTTCTTTAGAGGGACAATATCAGTGTTCATCAGGTGTCAAAAATGTGCAATCATATGTTGTCCCTGCGACTCTATCCCTGTCCGTGTGAAGGTTTTGATGAACAGATATAGACGATTCCAACCCGCATGGAAGACAAAATAATTGTCCAGAAGGTCTGTTCAGTGTGCTTATGGCTACTTGCAAGGCCAACGTTGCATTGAATGGGAGGATAGCCATGAGGGGACCCGCTTGCGAAACCACCTAATTGATGAAAACAATCCAGAGTAATAGGGTTCCTAAATAGGCGCATATACATGTCACAGGGGCTTTCTCGGACTTACTAAAAGGTCCGAGTCAAACGTACTCTTAGCTAGCTGGCATTGGCATTGCTGGTGATATGTCTCAACAACTATGTAGTGTGTATAATGCCGCCGCACAAATAGCCTAAGGTAACTGCTTGGTATGAAAGGATTGAGGCATTCAAATGTCAGAATAATGGCCATCAACTAAGCCTAGGATTTCAGAGTTCTTTGCTTCAAGAAGAAGCCCAGAGCCCTGCATCCATTAGAGGTCGTCGCTAGTTTCCTTGAGTAGTATGAATACCGCAAAACAACCCATTTTCGGGCAGCTCGCGGTGAAATGAGTCATTTGACAGTTTCTTTCCATACATACCCTGTGCGAAAACAGAAATCCGAGGCATTGGGAACATCGACCGCCAAGGACTATGACAGCAGCTGTTTTCGTCCCAAGTCTCCTCATGTGAACATGTCACTGTGGAGTAGTTGATTGAAGCACAGAATGGTAGGACCGATGTCCTCTCCTCGCGGCGTCCATGGATAAGATCCAAAGAGATCACAACCCGGGTAGTGTGTCTACAGAACTACTGGCCTTTGCTTATGCCGTCGATCATCCCGTTCAACTGTCACAGTTGACTCGAAATCTCCCTGCGCGAATTTGGCAAGATGATCTTGAAACCCCCCCGGCGGCGTCTTAACATTACCACGATTCTCGCCGGGGTACTTGTTTTCTATGCCAGCGTCTATTTCCTCTGGCCGGCAGTCAGTGCACGCTACAGGGACGCGAATTGGCCGTTCATCAGCCGCGACGCCCTGAGCGATGAAATACTTTCGCATACTCAGAACGAGACTCTAGGCGTTAGGACCCTTCATATCCCATAGCACTTTCGCACCATCTAACCTGACTGGTCTATAGTTCGAACATATCTATGCGATCGGCTTGAAAGAACGGACCGACAAACGGGACTTTCTGACTTTAGCGTCTCAGGTTGCTGGTTTCAAGGTAGACTGGATTGACGGTGTGCGACCTGACGACCTGGATCCCAGATCCCTCCCTAATGTACGCGCTATCATCCGCACTTTATTATTGATCTGCTAACCTTGAGACAAGGGAGTCAACCTAACTGATTTGAAACCCACTGCCGTGGCCTGCTGGCGCGCACATATGAATGCATTGAGAATGTAATACAGCACACACTCAGCAGATATACCTTTCCCCAGACCGTGACTAACTGAATTGGACTGAACAGGGTTCTTCAGAATTCCTACACGACCGCCCTTATCCTAGAAGACGACGCGGACTGGGACGTGGCCTTTAAACGACAACTCCGCGAATTTGCCCGTGGGGTACGCCAGCTAAATGGCGAGGAAACCGCACCCAAAGAAACCCCCTATGGCACAAACTGGGATATCCTCTGGATCGGAGGCTGCGCCTCGGGCCCCGGAGCCAACGAGACAACCTTCTTCGCCATCCCAGAGGACCCAACCGTCCCCAGCGTTGATAAGCGCGACGGCTGGGGGGGCCCACTGGATACATGGAAAGAACAGTATCCCAACTTGCCGGTTGAGACGACACGCTTCTTATACCGAGCCGAGATGGGCTGCTGTACGTACGGATATGCCGTCACAAGGGAAGGGGCCAAGAAAATCCTTGCCGCGCTTTCCATCGATCGCCTTGACTGTGCTGTCGATAATGCCATGAGTGACCTGTGCGCCGGCACTAACGGCCGTCGGCAGCTGAAATGCTTCGCTACGTTTCCTAATTTGATCGGCACGTATAAGCACGCTGGTCCGGCATCACGCGACTCTGATATCAATGGTGGTGATGATACCGCATGGCATGAGGCTCAAGCATGGAATATGGTCTACAGCACTCGGCTCAACATCCATCAGCTGGTGGCGGGCGAAAGGAAGGTATATTCGCAACACAAGAATAAAAAAATAGGCGCCATAACGGAGTTGGATTTGGCGGATATTTACTATCCAAGGGGGTTTTTGGTTGGCTAATCTGGACTGTGTATATGGAAGAATTTACAAGACGAAGGCATGCGTTGTTTGATTACCATTCCCTGTTGTTTGAGCCCTATGGCTGGTTCCCTCTTCCTTGTAGATAGTTTGAGACTGTCTGCCCAGTTCTACCCGTGGCTTATGAATAGGAGCCGGAGTGGGGGCATACACTTTGAAGCGCCTGCATGTTGAGGATGGTTGTGCGAGCAATTCAGGTGTTCTCTATCTAAGCTCTTCCTCCTGGGTGTATAGCTTGGAACTCAAACTATGAGTTCCTGTGCTCACTGGCTGCGGGTCATGTTCCCTTGAAAACCAATGCACTGAATGCAGGTGCCCCTCACATATTGCTCATATAGTAAACATGAGTGCTACGCTACCTTGAAAAGCGTTATTTTGGAGTAGTCTTGGTTCTGTGACGGATTCATTTTGATTGTATTGCAGATATTAATATGAAGTATTAATACTATTAATACCTTGTTTCGGGTAGGCATTAAAGGAAAACCACCACCTATTTTGCAACGGTTTCGTCGGTCATATAAATTGCCGCATTCGACAATTCGTATATTACTCACAGTTCTTCAGCGGCGGCGAAGCACTATACGCATGTACCTGATTATAAAAAACAAACCGATTAGCTTGTCTTTAATCTGGAGGCGTTCGATCTAGGTAAGATCACACATACAAGGTCATCCCTGTCAGGGCCATTAGAATACCGACGAGGCTTCCCCTCGAAACTGGCCGATCGCTCAGTGCCCATCCCAACCCGACAATGATACAAGTTTTCAAGTGTCCAATGACTGTGCTGCTGACAGGGCCGACAGAATCAATGATGATGAATTGTGATAAATTTACCAGACAAGCAAGGATACCGCTCTAGAAGACCGAGTTAGCGCAACAAGATAGTGCAATAGGAGAGGCCCGGGGAGAAAGTCTTACTGCCATAATAGAGACATATAATGATGTCGAGAGACCTGCAGTTGCTGGCAATGTCTCTGCAAAGGGAACAACGCACAGAAGTATAGCCGCGCTCATTGGAGCCTGGTTCAATAGGAGTTGAACACTGCTGACTTCGAATTTCCGGTGATAGCGTCCAACGAATGCCGTATATAACGCACTGGCAACGATGCCGGTGAAGGCAAAAACCGCGCCCTTTGAAGATGCTGTGACTTTGCCGTCTGTCCTGGGCAGTGCGTCATAGTATGACACGGTCCCGACGCCGCCGCAAAGCACTATCAGGGGTATGATGGATGCCGTGGGGATCGTTGCGCGATACAGAAGATAATTCAAGAGCGCAGTAACCGGTGTCAGAAGTAGTCGCACGAGTTGGTGGAAAATGACTGATGAATACGCTAGCGAGAGATTCTGCAGTATCACCTGGAGACACATGAGTACAGCCAAGTGCAGAGTCTGGTGGACCGGCACTCGCTTCGCAGTGAAGACACCGCACCAAGGACGTGATGCCATCCATAGGGTGAACCCTGTTACGAAAAAGTGGTAAGATGCAAAGGCGATCTGGCAGTTGCCGAATGACTCATTGACGAAAATAGACTTGTTGGTGAATATCTTGCACGGGTCAGTAGATTTTTCAGGTGTTGTCAAGCTGTTGGGCTTACAATTGCGACTGTAGAGACAATATTTACTATGGTCCATATCCCCAGGCGGGCTCGTGAGCTTCGAGGTCTCGGTCAGTCTATGTGGAATCTGAAGGAGTATGAACGTACCCGTTGTTGCCTTCCTGTCCCAAATTTTCTATAACATTCAGCGGAGAGTTGAGCCACCAGCTGAATGGCCATGGCTTCAGCGACTCGATGGCCTTTTCACCATTGGTACGCACGTTTGCTGCCAGTGAGACAACCATTGTACTTGGGTTGCCATATACCGTGCTTTGAACAGGCGAGAGACATTGGCTTTAAACTTAGACGGCATCTGCCCCAGAAAATAACATGCTACTGTCCTTTGCTAAGGTGGTAATCTACGTGACAGTTGATTCCGAATGCGGACATCATAGTCTTATCAGCTGGTTCCTGAGCTCCCAAGGACCCTATCACCTACTGTACTTATTCTTGGCAGTCCTAGACTCGGTGCTTTGACTATAGATATGCTATGGTTGTGTTGTATCTGCCACAGTCTCAACGTGTACATATTTGTGATTCTATTCCTTATCGTCTCTAACGTAACTGCACGCTGGAGATAATAGATCAAAGAAAATTGCAACTTCATTTATCGATTAATTGGCAACAATGCCTCTGTCAGACATCGTTGTCGTTCCACTTTGTAGGGTTGCACTCCGTCACCGGGGACTTCCGCATTTGGCAATCGCCCTCCAACAACGAGGTCCATCTCCCCACTCTGCTCTGTGCTATTGTTCCCTGTTGCCGGAATGTGGATCTCGCTTTCGTGAGTTGGAAAATAACGTAGCAGTCGGCCCAGAGCAGGTCAATAGAGATGTACATAAGTGCCCCATGGCAACTAGACTAGAGAGATATGAATTTTATTGTGCGCACGGTAGTCGACGATTTTCCTCGTATAATATCCATGGAGCGCGATCGCTTCCATGGCAGTTCATGATCTTTATGGCGACCACAATTCGAACTGGCAGCTTGTCCTGGATGTCCTATCCTGGATATTCTGGTCCAATGCCACCATTCTACTGAATAAATGGATCATCAATTCCACACGTTTTCGTATGTTGACTGTTCCCACATCCTACCATCATGATAGGTTAAGCTGACTTGTCTCAGATTACCGTGAGTTTCGAATACCCATCCTTTGAGCCTCTGATCAGTTGCTGATTCCGTAGCTATCATCCTAACATGCTGGCATTCGGTGTTTGCGACCATTGTCACCCAACTCCTTGCGCGGACGACGAGATTGCTTGATGGCCGGAGGTCGATACCCATGGATGCGCGGATGTACTGTCGGACAATACTCCCAATTGGACTATTATACTGCGGGAGTCTAGTCTGCAGCAATGTGGTTTATCTCTATCTGAATATCTCCTTCATCCAGATGCTCAAGGTACTTTATTTTCTCTACACAGAAGGCCATATGCTAATGATTCTAGGCTGCTGGTCCTGTTGTTACACTTATCACGAGCTGGTCTTGGAAGGTCGCAAAACCCTCAATTGGAGCCTTTATCAACATTCTCATCATAACCCTGAGCGTTGCAATGGCCGTGTCAGGGGAGATCAGGTTCTCATGGTTGGGTTTCGGCTTCCAGTTCGCCAGTCTAGTTTTCGACGCCAATCGTCTCGTCATGGTCCAAATTCTTCTGTCCGACTGTGGCCAGAAGATGGATCCGCTGGTCAGTCTGTACTACTTTGCGCCGGCATGTGCTGTCATGACCTCGCTGGTGGCCTGGCAGACGGAATATGCTTTTTTTGAATGGAGTTCGATCGCGCAGGTTGGGTGGACAGTTCTGACACTGAGTGCTGTAATGGGCTTCATGCTTAATGTCTCGATCTTCCTATTGGTGAGTTTATGTGGTGCACAAACAGATGATGTTCTCAGCTGACCCACAAAGATCGGCAAAACGTCGGGATTAGCGATGACGCTGATCAGCATCCCCAAGAATATTTTACTCATTGCTATCTCGGTTCTTCTCTGGCATACCCCCATCAGCTTGCTGCAGATCCTGGGGTACAGCATCGCGCTGTGGACCCTCCTTTTCTACTCTATCGGCTGGAAAACTGTCAGAGCTTATGTTGACGCACTGAGCGTCTGGAGGCGAAAGAGTGAGGAAAATGAGGTCTTGTTGGCTGATAGGGTGTGATCATCACTGGTATATATGACTCTAATTTGTAATTGGAGGTTGCGCTCTTGTTTTTTAATTCCACAATAGTAGATAGAATGCCATATTTGAGATGTACTCATACTCGTTGATACTAAGCATCGCTCATCATGATTCAGTAGACCGTAGTCTTTTACCTGACTGGTAATTGCTTTACTAGACCCAGAAGCCTTCTTTTATCTGTTCTTTCATGCTCTCTTTCTCTATTTTCCGAGTGCTATACCCCAACACTCACAACACGGTTGCCGCGACCAGAATGGCAACCAACACAAAAGGCACCAGGACATAATGCTTGTAGGAGCCCAGTGGAGGGCGACTCTGCTGCAGGACTTTCATCTGCACATCCGCCTGAGGGAAGAAGATGCCCCGGTCATTCACGGCCATCGTGGATCTCCGTTCGGGATACTCCGGGCGACGCAGCAAATATCCGACTGGAACCCACAGATTGCTGACAGTGAGATAGCTAATATGTAGCATAGGGGGCCACGCCACCGTTGTGAGCAACTCCATGATCAATGATTTGGGAGCAGTCATCGCAGCAGTGGCATAATCGCTGCTCGCGACCGCGTAGAATGACAGTAGAAATGTGCTGAGAGTCGCCAGGTACAGGAAGACGCTATATACAAGCCCGTTATCCAGCAAATCCTTGCGGACCTTCTTGTAGATCGGCAATTCCGTGAAACGGTTCCACGAATTCGCGCTACTGCCTGTGACAAAAGAGCCCTTTGGTTTGCTCGAGAAGCAGTGGAAGCGAATGATCGCAAAAATGTGGGCTAATTGTGTTAGTGTTGTTCGCAAAGTCAGGCTGCAGATATGACTTACTACTTGCAAGCCAACTGTTCTCGAGATGGGCAAATGGGCCAATGCGAAAGCCCGTGTGGGCGGATTGGATCAACCCATGTGTCCACGTCAAGGCGACGTGTAAAACTGCCAAAGTAACTTGGATCCGAACCAACAATGGCGATGCCGCGGGAATCAGACGCCCCGAAGTGCAGAGAACGGGAACTGCCGCGAAGCCGACCATGTACCCAACCAGCCCCAAGACGATGGACACTCCATTCAGACAAATGCTCCATTGCAGAGGCCGGGGAATGCTTTGGTCCGAGGACAACAGCACGGATGGCTGTTGGGAGTGACCAATCTGCCATCGGTTTCTCTGGGCGATATGCCCATCCAGCGACGAGGGTACCAACCCCAACTGCAACGGTTCGAGCACCTGCATCGTCCGATACCCCAGGCCCTGCAACATGAGCGACAGCTGCCAATCCTCCGAGAAGGAAAATGTGGGATAGCCGCCCACATCGACGATCGCCTTCCGCCGAAAGACGGCCCCAGATCCTGCATCGATGGCAGCTCCCATCCGGTCGAGTTCGGAATTATGGCATGTGTAGAAATGCACACGAGACTGTTGCAGCGGGTCACCGTCGGGCAGGTTATAGTAGTATTGCCTCGTCGTGAGCAAAGCGGCCTGGGGATCTTTCAGCAGATGAGGCAGCGTCGCTCGCAGAAAATCGGAGGTGGGCATGCAGTCGGCATCCAGAACAGCACAAAACTCGGGCTGCACCTCGTTCTGCAACGAGAAGAGCGCATAGTTGAGGTTTCCGGCTTTGGCGAACACGCGACCGGAGTGCTGTCCGCGCGTGTGGTACGACAGGTGAGGCCATTGGGAGCGTAGTTCTGCGACGGCATCACGCAGCGCAGGGGAGGCCCCATCATCCAACAGAAGCACTCGAAAATGAGTGACGGGATAATCCATAGTGCAGGCCGCGCGGACTGTGTCCAAAACCACATCCGTCGGCTCTCCACAGCAGGGAACCAAGACATCGACCCGAGGCAGATGGTCGCTGCCATGGAGTCGCAGCCGGTCCCGGGGACGGCTTTGCACCGACCTGCCTGCTGCTACCGTGAGAAGCTGATCATTTCGGGGCATACCTGGCTGGAGTCAGTTGCCAGAACGGGATCGCGCACAGCGCCTGATTCGTCGATGACTTACGGGCGAATATATACTCGACAAGAAGCATGAGCCATATCTGCCATGTCTGTTGAGGTGCCGTGATGGCCAGAAACAAGCGCACGAGAAAGTAGAGGTGAAACGTCCAGATGGCTGCCTTGCTTATGAAATAGAGAGCCGTCCTGTACTTCAAACTGAACCGAATGCGGTCGTCTGGTGGAAGCTCCCGGATGTCATACTCGTGTTTTGACAGCATTGCAGTAATTGGCTGCGCTATTTTCGTGGCTCAGGGGTACTACTTCCAGTCGGCTTTGTTGTTGCTGTTCCAATGGAACCAATTCCGCACTCTAAAGAACCCTCATGGTGGAAATTGGACTGCTCTGGTTAACACGATGGGCTCTACGAAAGTCTGCAGTCGAATTATTTATCTTCCTGGTAGACATCTTCTTTGGCTAAGTTCCCCTGAAGGCGCGAGTCGGTGAGGATGTGGCTTTTGTCTAGATGCCATCGCAGCGGTCGATTGGCTGCCCGCGGATACTCTCGATCCACTAATTGCCTCATTGGGGTATTTGAGGTTCTACGAGATGCGCCGACCGTCGACGCAGAATGAAGAAGAAGGGCCCAGCCGAGAGGCGCTTTTTCTTCTTCGGTCGTTTTGCAATATGTCTGGCGAGACATTCGTTCCTGATATGGTCTAGATACTCTATTTCTATCAAGCAATGTCCCCAAAATGGATACAAGCGACAGAAGGACAGAATTGACAGCGGAAGTTCGGAAGTTGCCGGATCCTCCGTGATCCGGCAATAGCGCGGCCGTCTGGCGATCAATCTCGGCCATATTATTCATGGAAGATGGGATGGGACTGTTCAGGAATGGATGCAAGAGCGGACTCTGGACTACGTTATATACATAGGACTGACAGCTGTTGGAATTGCAAGACGCGCGGTTCGGCAGTTGCACCCAAATAAGTCGCCAACATGTATATCCCACGCCAGGGGATACTTAAACCCCCTTTCCTTAAGTATACCATGGTCTGAACGTATTTCTACTGGTTACTGAATACAAGGATTAGGAATGTCAAACTGCATTATAGTCAGGGACAGGATCTAGACCATTGCKGGGGACTTTGAAGAACGATTACTGTATACAGCTCAGGAACATGCACTGGTTAAACTTCAGCCTTTGTATCAAGCCTCGACACCAATGTAACTCTCCCCAGCTTTTAATTATTGGGGGCCAACACCCTGGCTGATTCTGAAGCACCGGTAGTTGCTAGTCGGCTTTTATCAATCGTCTCTTCCTTAGTGTCGAAGCCGGATATTATCTGCAGCGACAACGGGCGTATCAGAATCATCCATCGCGGACGGGCTTGTCAGCGCGGAGATTACAGCGTCGCAATAGGACGAACCTTACCACATCCATCCTTCTCACCGAGCCAGTCAAGGCAAGATCTAGCTCGGCATATATTGATTGGTATATTGGTCAAAGTCATTAGGCCAAGTCACGCCCAATGCACGTTGCATGAGCTTAATCAATCAACAGCCATCACAGTTACATCGTCTTCGCCGATCGCCCTCTCTGTCGATTCAGGCTCAGCCATTTCTACAGCGCTCCTATTGAGTTTCCTTGAAAGATTCTTTCACGAGGAGTCATGCGTGTTTAGAGCGTTTCAGCCATGCTTCCCTCCAGCAGTTTCAACGCCAGTTGCAACGCTGAACGGACATTATCCTACTTCATGAAGTTACCATCGCATGCAGACGACGGAGATGGCGCATCAAGGATGTTGCTCGAATGTATGTCGCGTGAAAGTGCTGGTGGACAGTCACAGGAGAAGGCATGATTGGAAATGGGATATAAAACAGGCGTCTCTTCGCAGCTCTTTCTCACGATCATTCCAACGCACACACAGTCCTTTCGATCTCAAGATTCTGAACGAATCTGTCCTTTCTCTTCTTCTCCTTCTTTATCTCGTTTACCTTCGGTCACTCCTTGTATTCCGGGTTCTCACCCCATCGACTTCATCACCATGTATTTTACCAAAGTGCTCAGTGCCCTCAGCCTGATGGCTGCTACTGCGTCTGCCATGCCCCATCAGCTGTCCTCGCGCGCGTCCGGTGCCCAGAACGTTGTGTACTGGGGCCAGAACGGCGGCGGCACTGTCGAGAACAATGATCTGGCGGCCTACTGCACGTCGACCTCCGGCATCGATATCATTGTCCTGGCCTTCCTGTATGAGTACGGAAATGGCAACACCATCGCCTCCGGTACCATCGGCCAGTCCTGCTACATTTCTCCCTCTGGGCAGCCGCAGAACTGCGACGCTCTAGCCTCGGCCATCAAGACCTGCCAAAACAACGGCGTCAAGGTCATCCTGTCCCTCGGAGGCGCCGTCGGCGCGTATTCCCTCTCCTCCCAGGCCGAGGCGGAGACGATCGGCCAAAACCTTTGGGAGGCCTATGGCAATACCAAGGGCAGTGGAAGCGTGCCTCGACCCTTTGGAAGCACCTTTGTCAACGGCTGGGACTTTGACATTGAAAGCTACGCTGGAAACAACTACTACCAGTACCTGATCAGCAAGCTGCGCTCCAACTTTGCCTCGGATCCTTCCAACAAGTACTACATCACCGGTGCGCCGCAGTGTCCCATTCCGGAGCCCAACATGCAGGTCATTATCACCAACGCTCAGTTCGACTACCTCTGGGTGCAATTCTACAATAACCCCGGCTGCTCCGTCAATGGCGCTATTAACTACGACCAGTGGGTCTCCAACGTGGCCAACACCCCTTCGGCCAACGCCAAGATCTTCATCGGCGTCCCTGCATCCCCGCTGGGTGCGACGGGAACGTCCAGTGGCGCTCAGTACTATCTGCAGCCCAGCGCTCTCGCTTCGCTCGTGGCCAAGTACAAGAATAACTCGGCTTTCGGGGGCGTCATGATGTGGTCCGCTGGGTTTTCGGACGCCAACGTCAACAACGGATGCACTTATGCCCAGGAGGCGAAGCGCATCCTGACTACCGGGTCTACTTGTTAA